TTATATATTTATATATATATATATATATATACACAGAACGGCTGCTGACACTCTGGAGCTCACAACTCCGAAAACATCAGAACAAATTTTCAAATAGAAGTTATCTTTATTAACAAACCACATGTTTGAAGTCCAAACAAGTACATTCTCGACTAAAAAAACTCTCAAAACTACATTCCGTGACACAGAAACTGTATTATTTAATTATGGTGGATTTGGGCGTCCGCCATGACACTCGCTGTGAGAAATACGGCAAGCGGAGTGATACAAACCGTGAAATGGCTGGAGTTCTGTTGGACTCTAATATCAACACTCTTATCAGCCAATCAGATTCTAGGACCAGAAAGAACTGCTGTGGCAGTGGTGTGTTTATATGCTTGTGATGTTGTCAGAGCACTGAAACCCAAAAGACAGGAACCCATCCTACGGTCAGACTGAGGAACCTGCTGTCCAAACTCCCTCCGCCCAAACCTGCCACGCTCACCGGTAACACACACACACACACACACGCACACACGAAACTCACTGATGGAGAGTTGTGATTGGTCAATCCAGTGTCATGAAGTAACAGCCATTAACTCTTTCCCCGCCAGCATTTATTTATTTATTTTTTAAAAGTTGCCCGCCAGCATTTTTGATCATTTTCACAAGAGTTCAGTGGCCTCCAGAATATTTAGTTGTATGAATATCTGAACATGCAATGTCAAAACAAAGAACAGATCCTTTGCTTTTGATATTTCATTCTGTAATGCCAAAAAATTCTGTCAATGGCAGGGAAAGAGTTACTGAGTTGACACAGCACTGGATCTACTAGATTTTCACCACTAGAGTTTTACTAAATTATGATTGCAATTTTTTTTTTTTTGCTTGATTTTGTGTCAATATTGCAATAATAATAATGACAATAACTGGTTTTATTATTGTTACTATTATAACTTAACAAAATAACTATAAAAAAAATAAGTGTTGCTATTGTAATATTTCACTGTAAAATACAATTGTTTTAGTAATATTGAAAATATGACAAATAAAAAGGTATTTTAAGGAAAATAAAAAAATTTTTAACAGTGCAACTGTTAAATTAAAATGCAAATGTATGTTTTTTTTTTATGTCTGTCTTCATTTTGAAATGTTAAATCGAGCTTTTTATTTTTGCGGAAAACCACAGGAAGCTTTTGTTAAAGGAAAACCTTTAACGCTTCTCTTCTGTTGGCAAAACACCGTTTATAAGTGCTTATTTCAAATTTGGGAAGATTGTTGGCGCATATTGCATTTTCAAATGCACGTGATGTGAACGGAGACGCTTAAACACCAGATCATGAGCTGCTCGTGTGTAAATGAACACAGCGATACGCTTGACTCTTCTATTTAATTAATAATTTAATTAATGAATAATTAATTTAATTTAACTGCAGATGCCATTTCGCGATTTTGCGTTATTCCGCACACTTTTATGAAAGTAAGAAACCTAAGCCCGTTTGATAGTTGCGCTAGTGAACCGGTTTCTGTGGCGTCCGCAGCGGCTCAGAGCGGCGTGAAGGCGGCGCCCCCTGCTGTCCTGGAGGAGGAGGTGCGCACCAGCTCAGAGCCGTCCAGCAGGAACCAGGAGGTGCGCGGAGGACGAAACCTCAAACGCAAGAGAGAGAAGAAGGAGAGCAGCAAACCCACCCGCAAGAAGAAGAGAGGTCACTAACACTAGCAGGACATTAGCACTGAACAGTCATGAAGTCATGTGTTTAAATAGTGTGTGTGTGTGTGTGTGTGTGTCAGTGTCAGTGCGCGCAAGCAGACAGAGCCAGGCTCAGGACGAGACGGACCGCCGCGCTCTCCTGCAGATGACCAGACAGAGAGTAACCTGGACACACATGGAGGACAGCCTGCTGATGCTGTGCCGCGTCGCCAGCCACTTCCTCAACCGCAAGGTACTCACACACACACACACACACTCACTCACTCTCACACACACTCTCTTTCTCACACACACACACACACACACACACTCACTCACTCACTCACTCTCACACACTCTCTCTCTCACACACACACACACACACATGTCTGGTCAGCTATCCTTGTGGGGACTCTCCATAGGCGTAATGGTTTTTCTACTGTACAGACCGTATATTCTATTGCCCTACACCAACCCTACCCCTAAACCTACCCCCTCACAGGAAACTTTCTGTATTTTTAGATTTTCAAAAAACTTCATT